AATTTTGTGGATATCTGAAGCCTAAATATATTCTTTCCACTAATGTAAGTAGCAACCAAAGTCCAGAACAAAGCTGATTTTTTTCTGTATGGACTCCAATTCACTGAAGTCTCATTTATTTTGCTAATGTAGTTAAATGCTTTACTGTAGCTACCAGTTTTTAGTTAAATCACTCCCCAGCAAATTTAATATTAATAATAGTTTTAATAATAGTACTGCAGGTTTTCTAAACACATGAGTTATTAATTGTTCATGCTTACTTATGGAATTATATAAGGTATCACTCTGGCAAACTGACATATAGGGAGAAAATGTATACAATAAATATTTAATAAAGGAGAGTGTCTTTTTGAAAATATAGTACATCTCTTATAAAATGGTACTTGTGGAATAAATAGTTCCCCTTCCTATAGTTCCATTCTAAGTATTTTGTAGTAATTCCAGGATTGCTGCATTGTCACACGTGCACTCAGTTTTAATACCTAGCCTTTTCTATGTTTTCCTCAATACTCACACTGACAGTGTGTCATTTTCAGTGTGCCTGTAGATGTAAAATAGTTCCATTAAGTAATGAATGGCTTATTGTAGATGTCAATTTTAAGTGACTGGTATAACTGTAAAGCTCTGTTGGATGCTATGCAGTGAAAGATTTTTCAGGTTTATAATTTTTCAAATAAAAAACAGAGATTTCATTTGTAAAGGATTTATATTTATATGATGTTAATGATAATAAAAGTATATTTCTTCACAATAGAAAGGAGGGCATTCCTTTTTGATACCCAGTACAGTATAATTTTGTTAATTTTTTTACTGTTCAGAATATGTCTGTAACACTGTAACAAATAACACAATTTCCAAATGAAACCTTTATGAAAGCTCTATACAGTATCAAGAGTGTAGTACAAATGATGACCACAATAATATATAAACACAATAATAATACAGCCAGCCATTTTTAAGGTCATAATAAAGTAATAAGGTCATTTACAAAAACCATTTATCAATAACAATACAACTCCTAAAAGAATTGTAATAATAAAATAAATCATTATGATATTATTATTTCTTAAATCATAATGATCGATATGGAATATTTATTTATTTATTTCATACTGTAGCGATTGAGATCTTTTGTAGTCATCATATTCAGTTTTTCTAACTGTCTCCATTTGACATTTTGTGGAACTGTAACATTAATTAAGAGGACACCAAAAAGGAGTATAATACTGCTCTCCCTCAACGTGTTTAAGAAAGGCATAGAAAATGTTCTTCTTTAGTTTCTGATCCATGTGTTTTACTGCTGCCACTTTTGTAATGTGAGC